TTCTACTCCACAGCGCGGGCACACCGGCGCATCACCTAGGCAGTACCAGCGCCTGTGTCCATACTGGAAGCAATTTGAGCATCGTACCACGTGAAAGTATTCTGTGATTGGACATCTAGTCCAACTAAGATAAATGTATTGTTTTTCTTTTAACTTTTTGCAAATCTGTGGGTCCATCTGCAGAGTCAAAGTGGGAGCTCCACTGAAGTGGTCTGGAAAGATAGACCGCATGGTGACCTGTTCCTCTGGGAGTTCTAGGTCGTTCTGTTCCGTCAACTTCTGAAGGACAGTTTCGTCGGTGACTGACGAATTAACCCCGTGATTTTCATCCGTGGTCTCAATCGGGCTTGGAATTTTGGTGTTAGAATTTCCTTTCCCATCTCGTGTGTCTCGATGGCAATCTTAAGTCTTTCGAGTCCTGCTTTGTTCACTGCCTGTGCGCAGACTCCATTTGATCTTCGGTTTTTAATGGAGACCTGTTGGATGTTAAGGTCTGCAAAATTAAAGTTGGATGTCAGGGCTCACCAGGTGTTGACATCTGGTGTTTTGCCAAACACCACAAGTGTTTCCCTATGTTCTTTTCCTTGTCTGAGAGGCTCCGGTCCAGCCGCAATACCTGCAGGACCCCGCGACGCTATGGTCACTTCCTCCTGAGATGCAAGCACCGAGGCGTAGGCCACAGGGGCCCCCCGGTCCTGCTGGGGGTGCAGCTGGTCCACCTTGCCTTGCTAGTGAGCGACCTCCAAGGCCAGGAGTGTGAGAGTGTCGCCGAATTCATGGATGTTTTTTTTAGGTCTGACCATGATTTGTGAGTCAGACTTTTGGCGTGACTTTTCATTAGTGTGACGACGTCTTCTCTAACTGATAAGTAGTGCCGAATCGCCGAAATCACTACCGGATTTAGTCCTGGAGTGTTCTCCAGAATGGATGTTGAAGGTCCCGTTATTGCGCGATTCATATCAGTCTCTTTTGAGTTAGTTTCAGTTTCGCTCTCTTTTTTTTTGTATTATTTCGTGAGACTTTCTACTCGGAATTGTGCCCGCGTTTTCGTGATAACAGATCGATGAGGAGAAAGATAAAGTGATTTTTTTTTTTAAGGAAACCCTTTTTTGTATTTTGATTTTCTTTTGCACAACTTTTAATGAAGGTAATTAGTAGTCTACACTCTTTGGAGTCTAATTTAAGTGTGATTACAGCTTTAGGTAGTCAAGTCGAGAGAAGAGTGAGTCGTTGAATTAAGGGAATTGAGCGATCTCACTTCGGAAGTGGAACATTCAATTTTTAAAAAAATCTTGCATAATATGATGTAATTAAGGTATCATTGGATTCCTGGGTGATTCCGATTACCGTTAGGATACCTATATAATGTTAATACTTGGACTAAATTACACAATTATGAAAATCACGCGAACATAGTGGTTTCGTATACTTGCGTGGTCAACGTCTTCTTCACGTGCAGGCAGTCGTAAATGATATTAGTAACTTAGATGACTCCAAAAATGCCCCAAAATATGTTATTCTTTAGCGTTTGTGGTCCTTCAAGATCCACCAAGATCACATGTGCTGTTCGATTCCCGTAAATTGGTGGAATAAAAGTTTTGTCAGCACGAGCAGCAACACTGGTTCTCAACGGCCGCTGGAGTAGAGAGAACTAGAAACGACTGAGTGGGGCGAGCTACAGGCTCTTCTCATGCTTTCAGTTGGACCTCAAAATGTGGAAACCGATCAGCCACTTCTATCGCAGTGCCACCTTCGCTGCGATCGAAGCGAGCGACAGCACAGGTCAAGGTCATATGGACAATATAGCCCCTGTTGAATGAACGGCTGACTGGTCGTTATTAGATGAAGCCAACAACAGCATTTATATACAAATGTTCACATTAAAATGTCCGGCATCGTCCGCTCATGGCCAGGCCTCGATCCATCTCGTCCATTCTATTTCTCGAGCTCCCGCTTCTTCTTCCTCTTTGTCGGGATGCCCGCTTCCGTACAATAGGGAGTTTTAGAATAACGTACGCAATTTTAGCGCACGCTCGCGCTAAATTTAGCGCTTGCGTTAGCGCTCGCTAGGCAGGAGAGTTTTAGAATAGCGTTTCCCCGCGGCGACGCAAAACGCAACGTCGCGCGCTTGCAGCGCCGCCAAGATGTAGTTGCAGCTAGTAATGCAATTCTCGCATTTCAAAAGGCACGCGAAATGCTGTAAATTAAAAATAAAATAAACATTTTTTTGTCACAACAAACATCTTTAAACGTGTTTTAACGAATACTTTTGGTCACAGCCAACCTAATTTTTAGTTTAATAGGTCACAACTAACAGAGCCAAGACAATCCACACGTGCACAATTTCGCGCCAAATTACGAACCTAGGTTGCGCACGCTTTGAGCTCTGTGAAGTGGTTTCTTTTTTTCTTCTTCTTTCTAATCATGCCTCCAACACGCCGATCGCGATCCAGTGTGCTGGTTGACCATCTTCTTCATATGAACATGTCGTGGAGCGATTTGGAGGACATGTTCCTCCAATACCGGGAGCCAGAACCGCGTAGATACAAGTCAAGTGGGGGGCTCCTGGATGTCGCCAAACTCGACGACCTGACTTTTCGGCGCATGTTTCGCTTTGAGAAGGACGATTTTGGACTCTTAAATGACGTCCTGCTGATGCCAAAGGTGGTGTACAGCAGCCAAGGGGTTGTTGTTAGCGGGGAGGAGGCCCTCCTTATGTGCCTGCGCCGACTTGCCTACCCAAACCGCTGGTGGGATTTGGAGCCGATCTTCGGCCGTCATTCGTCGGCAATGTCGAGCATCGTCGGTCAGGTGCTCAAGCACATCGACGGCACCTTTGGTCACTTGCTGGACGACCTGACCACCCACAGCTGGCTGAGCTTGGGCGACTTGGAACGCTTCGCAAGAGTAAGTCTGCTCGTTAACTGAGCGGCGTTTTTAAACCATTAAATTTAAGAAAAACGTGCGCAGCATTTTACGACATTCCGAAAAAAATTAACTATTAGATGTGTTTTTAAGTTTCGGTGTCCTATCAAAACGCACCTCCGCACCGGCAGTCCTGTTCCCCGAGGTCAAAGCGTGCGACTATCTCCTCACCTCCCTCGTAGAAGTAAGCGTAGCGCACATGGTCAAATTACGTATGGTAGTTGCTTAATTTGCCCACGAGGAACAGGACCGCCGACGCAAAGATGCGTTCCCATAGAAAACCAGAACCTATATATTCAACCCAATTCCGTTTTTTTTTGTTTTTTTTTTTGGAAAGGGGGGGATGTTGCACGCGCCTAATATTTCTGTAAGGTGCACTGGCTTAATGCTATTTTTTTCATATCTAACGGTTTTAATGTTTCCTGATTAAAAAGAATACAAAAGTAATTAAGAACCTAATTTCAACAAAGTTTATTCATCTTCTTAAAGGGGCGGTGCAACGATATTCATTTGGAATGTTTTTCACTTTGCACGAGCTTACTGGCACTAGTGAGACTCAAAGATACTCGCACGCAACGCCATTGACCAAGAAACTCCTTTGTTGCTCTGTAATTTCCAGGACAAAACCGAGCGTTTTCATTCAATCTCTCCTTCTCAAAACCTGATGACGTAGCTGGGCGGTAGCAGTACCGCCCAGTGACGATATTTCAATGCGGCTCATAGATTGGACCCGAACATTGCGTGGGCACTCGATTTGGGCTCGTGATAATCTATAGCTCGAGAAGCAGTCGGGTTGTGTCCTGTGTCCAATCGCTGCAATGACGACAACTGCCGAACCATAACCATGTCTAGAAATGCAGCGCGTGTCCTGTGCCTTGCCAACCCAAGCGCATGGTTATGATCAACATTGGCGGCATATAATCGGCTCCAGATCACGGGGCCGCTTGTTCTGGCTGCGAGTTGAGGGGGTGAACGGTGCTCGTTTTTCTTCATTTTTTTCCGCGACTTCGAATGCGTGTGGTGAAAAACGAACGGGTATTTCACAGGTCATTAATGTCAGGGATCCGTTCTAAGCGGTATTTGCGAAAAATACAAAAATCGTTGCATCGCCCCTTTAAAGAGACTCTTTGGCAGAGACCAATATGACAACTTTTTCTCTGTGCGATACACACTTTTTGCTGGAGTGATTTGGCCGGCATTTCATAAAACGCTTTGCAATATTCAATGCTTGGAGTGTCACATAATAATACTTGCCATTATTGGTGTTCAGTAGCCTAGTCATAAGCTTTAAGCCCCCCTCCCTCCTCCCCAATATCTAGTCAACCATATAATATACACATGCATTTTGACTCCCCTCCCCTCTTTACACCACAAGTCATAACAATCCTAGCCCCCCTCCTTCCCTCTCTTCCTCCCAGCCTCAGACCTCTTCTCCCTCCCCCTCCCCCCAAAGAAATTTGTGCCTACTGTTGTCATTTCCAATTAAGGAGGTCAAATATGTTACCCAGAACTGCTGAACAGAACTAATTTAGAAAAAACATACAGCTTAAAGAGGGATGTTTGTTTAGTAATTGATTTTATTTCATGACACATTTGTATACTACAAAAAACAACACTTCCTGTGCATGGGAGAAAGTACACTGATGAGGTCTTGGTATATGGTCGTTATTCAATTGATATTAATAAATATGCTACATATGCAAACTTCGGTAACACAACTAGAACAAAACATAACAAATTTAATGACCCTTATCGCTTCAATATGGACTCTTTTAAAATCCTTTCTGTTAAATGTATTGAAGAATAGAACTGCCTATCCACAGAAGCTCTAAATAGTGAAAATGTGCATGGTTTTCTTGATAACATTTTTAATAGTTAAGTGTGCCTACCAACCTGCTTTGGCCTCATAGCTGGCAAGATGTTAAAATAAAGAAAATAAAAAGCTGCATTTAAACTCATCAATACTACATACAAATAAGGAATACTGACACCAACCAGTTGGAGAATAAAATTAAATATAAAAACAAGACACTTGATCAAAGCAAATCATGTTTTAGATACCATGAAGGTCTCGCTAAGAATGTACCATTATTGCAGGCCGTTCATGCCCGAGGTGCACCCCTCCCAAACTGCTGGGGTTTCGTGGATGGGACGGCGAGGCCCATCTGCCGCCCTTCCACCAACCAGCGGATCTACTTTTCTGGACACAAGAGGCTGCACGCATTGAAGTACCAGTCAATAATGTGTGCAAACGGCATCATTTGCCAACTTGATGGTCCCTATCCGGGACACAGGCATGACGCTGGTGGGTGCAGCTGTTCTGGACCTGCATGCTTCCACGTTTGATATTAACACTTCCCATTAATCAGCATTTCAACTCTGTAGCAACACTGAATAAGCAGTTTTGCTATAGAGGTAGCACCGAACCAAATACAAATCACGAAGGAAATCATGTGTTCAATACAATTATTAATGCGATTCTTTCAAATGAGCTAGTCCAGTCGCTGAGCTTAAATAACAAGCCTTGAAATGCTGTTTTGTGCTTCATTTTTGGTTAAGATGCAGTGGCATGTTCCGATTTAACTATATCTCTTCCAATTTATGCAGCCCTTGCTTTCTTCGAGGTTCGCTGCAAAAATATTTACTTAGCTCTGAAAGAGTGTGCTGTTCTACAGAGGACAAAGTATTGTAATGCAGCATTCACACTACATTGCAAAACGGAGCATGCCAAATGAGCACACTGGCGAATCAATACCATGCAACTACTGTTTTTAAAAGTGGTAAAAAGTACAGTGCCTTCTTGCTTCTCTGTTTTATGCAGGCATTTTGCGCGAAAGTGGCCTCTACGGAAAGTTGGAAAAGCTTGTGCAGGGCCGCTCTTACACCATCTACGGCGACCCAGCGTACCCATTACGGCGGCTTCTGATGAGGCCGTACGGAGGTGCCACCCTCACTCAACAGCAAGTGCTCTTCAACAGTGGCATGAGTACTGTGCGACAAGCTGTTGAGTGGGGGTTCGGTAAAATAGTATCCGAGTTCGCATTCCTGGACTTCAAGAAAAACCAGAAGCTGTACTTGCAGGATGTGGGGAGAATGTATCGGGTGGGGGCAATTTTTACTAACTGTCATACATGCCTGTACGGTAGCCAGACTGGTATGTTCTTTGGGCTCCGTGCACCCAACTTGGGGCAATACTTGAAACCCTCTGTACGGGACAGACACAACCTTTAAGATACTCTTGGTACAGTGCTCAGCAAACTTATATGAAACACTCAAACTGTGTCTTATCTCGTAAGATCAGTGCTCCATTACATAGCGCTCAATAGAACAGCTTGAGCAGGGAAGGTACGCTTGCTCAAGGCCGAAATTGAAGCTAGGCCAAGGAAAACAACAGTTTTGCTGGCAATCTACTCTTATCACCACCCTTTCGTATTAAGGTGCTTAGGTGACTGCCTAAACCGTCGGTGATTAGATGACTCAATCAGTGGGCGTTTCATGTTTTTACTGAATGAGCCCTTCAATAACTGACGATTTCAGCAGTCACCTTTGGCCGCCACCTGCATCAAGCAGAATTGCCATGTTGTCCCCGGCCCAGCCACCACTTCGACTTTGAGCGAGCGACCTCCCCTGGTTGGGCCATTCTACTGAGCACTACTTTTGGGGATTCTACGTGCCAAACCGACAAAGTGTATCTGGCGTGGTTCAGTGCAGGACTGAGGATTAATTTCATCCATCTGGAGATGTTCCGACGTACAATAGAAAGTTCAATATCATGGGACCTTCTTTGCAATAAGCCTCCGTCAAACTGCGGCCAGCTCTACAAACATTCAAACCAACTGGGTATCCGTAGGCTGGTGCTTTGCCTCCATGAAACCGTGGCAGCTAGCATTCTTATAAGATAAGACACAGTTTGCATGTCTCGTATAGGCTTGGTGGGCCCTGTAAATGTTCCTAAACGTGGTCTTTCTAGTCTTTTTTAAGTGTTGCACATTAAGCGCTATTTCACGCAGAACTTCTTTAGCTGCTGTCAAGATATTGTACCCATGAGATTATACAGTTCACATGTTCTACATAATTTTGGTGACACTGTTTATTTACCATAAAGTGGCCTTTCTAGTCATTTTCTGATTGCCGAGTTAAAAGACGCTGTTATTTTCTTTTGAACAAGTTTTCTTTGGCTATAGTAATCTTTATTGGAGCTTCCATTTCTACATTTGTACTTGCAAGATGCGTGGAAGAATATAAAAATATTTATGTTATGGTAATTAAACAAATAAAAGTGAAAACTCAAAGCCTGCTGTCTATTTGAACTTATTAGCAATCATTGATTGCACGAGCTCCAGCATGGCTTGCTGCTGTGTGAGAAAAAAGTGTCTTTCCTGTGCACGATCCCTTTCTCTTTCTGCCCTTTCTTGAGCTCTCTCCTCTTTTTCCTCCTCCCACTCACGAACTTGTTGCTGGAGCTGGTCTCTGTCGAGGGCCAGGCGCTTCTCCTCGAGGATGAGGCGCTTCTCTTCAAGTGAAATCCGCCGCTCCTCCAGCTTGTTCTCCCTCTCTCGGGTGCCCTGTTCAAACTGAAATCTTTTTTCAAAGAATATTAGATTCTCATTTTCTCTTTCTTTTTCTGTAAGAAAAACATATGAAATGCATGTTAGACAAATGTTTCTCCAGAAATGTGCACAAACCTTTCCTGGAGGTCTACACTGTGGTCACTTTGCCCAGCTGCATATCTGATCCGAAAGAATAACATAGGGCAAGGATATCATGGAGTTGCAAATTGACATGAATATATTCAGCAACTTAATTTACTCTGCTGCAGCCTCCTTAGCTTCCTACAAGAAAAGAAGCCCCACAACGACATACGCAGGCACAGGAAACATGATAGAGTCATGAAATAGTCTGGAACGCACCAATACAAAGCACATGAACGAGCACAGAGTGATCGTAGGAAGCACAAAGGCAACAGGAATGTCAGGCAACCTAGGCCTTGAAGAACAGAGGTGAGATCAAGGTGCCCAGATTGTGAAATGAATTACCGTAGTAGATTTTCTTTTACTGCACGTGAATTACATTAAGTGTTCACAACTAATATTCAACTTTTCTTCTTAGATGCAGATATTAAGATAGACTTGTCTTCTATGTAACAGGATACCCCTGACGTACTTTGGTAAAAACTGTAAAAAAGGTATTTCAATATACAAACATACAGAGCAAGAATGTTTTTTCCGAACGATGTCAGGCACTGTGGGTTTCAGTTCGTGGCGACTGCAAATGGTAGTGCTTATGTTTCTCTCTTTGTGTTGGTTCATGCACCTCCCCTTACCTCAAGCCCTTCACCTAATCACAAGGGATGTTCTGAGGAGGTTTATAGAACATTTGAGCTGCTTGGGAAGCCTGGAGCTTACCCCCCTGCACCTGACGGCTAGCTTCAGGTTCCACGGTCTGCTCGGGTGAAGCTGCAGGTGCATGGCCTCCAACATCGATCGAAGGGGTGCCCGTGGCAGCTGCAGGTAACTCTCTGCTCACGTCAAGACCAACAATTTCATATGTGTTGCCTGCATCTGCCGCCGAGAGGAGCTCTGCCGTATCCACAACACAAGTGGTCCCTGAAAAAAAATATAAAAAAACAGCACCTCTGAAGAAATTAACTCTTAAATATTATGTTTCCCATTGGTACTTCCATTGGTGGTTCAAGTATGCAGGACTGGCCACAGCATCTATGATAATGAAAAGCGTAGGAATATGTTTTGTCTCGCCCTATGATAAACTAAAGCCGAAAACCTATGGGCCTTCAATCGGCAAAATACAAAAAAAAATGGATAGCATAAAATGCAGCCGTACCATGCATTAAAGCTAACAGCTCGAGCTTAAAAGCTCTTCCACTTTAGCGGTGCTGTGATCGCTAGCGGCAGTGATTTTGGCCGCAGAATTGGTGACTCCAGCGAAATCAACGCTGCATAGCGGCCACGCTGAGAAGCGCAAGAGAGGAGGTCACTTCGACTCTGTCGTTTGCTATCGCTGCTTGGTTCTCGCAGGCAGCATAGAAACATTCATCGTTTCCAGTAGTCATATTTATGCTTCCACCGTGTCATTTTTACGCAATGACCAGACGGAAGTTTCTACTGTCGATAATCGCTTTGCTTTCAGATGTAACACCGATTTTATGCTGCAGTGCAAGAAATTTATGATGGTCCACGTGCTGAAGAACGAAAACTACCTCCTTTCGCCCGACCACCGCGCCCCCTATAGTTCGCTGGAGCCGCTAATTGCACCATGTGAAACATGCTTAAAGGGCAACTTCAATCAATATTTTTTTTTTATTTGGAATTACAACTGTTTTTACCTAAAGCAGTGTCTCCGAATTACAAGGTATAATTTTTTTTTTCTCGATATTGTGTGTAGTTTTATAAATATCACGGCTCAAAGTTTGGTTTCGGGCGTCTACGGAGAAACCAAAACTATCCGCCAGAGGGATGGCAACGCTGATCATCAGCCTACGGTCGCGACGTGACGTCAACGGCGCTGCGGTGAGAGGTACAACCAATCAACCGCAGCTCCACCGCGATCCAATGTCACAAGGGTGCTGTGCCAGTGTTCCTTGGCTAAAAGCTAACCCGCTCGCCCCCTGCTAAAGAGCAACTGGTCACATCACTAAAATCGGTCCTAGTGGAATATGCATTTTCACTTTGACGTAAAATTTCGGCTGTAATATATTTGAAGTTACTAAAGCGATACCCGTCATTTATTTTGGTTTAATTTTCGACCGGAGTTGCCCTTTAAGACAAACACATATGCATTAAGACGCCCTGATCCCACTTACATATGTTGCCAGCACTTTCCGGTACCTCGACGACCGAAGAGGTTGCCACGTACGCTGCAGCAGCAGCATCAGTAGAAGTGGAGGCACGGCATGCGTCCGCAGTTGCGCTGCCATTCTGCGAAAGTCCACCAGATGTTGTAAATGATGCTAAATTCTTTTTTCTTTTAAACCTTTTGTTTAAGTTTTTGCAGCAAGTGCAACATGTGTGATACTTGGTTTACATTCTTCTCTGTAACCATCTTGAAAGAAATTAACAGTAGGCTTGTTTGATTCACCTACATCTCCTGCACCAGCTTCACTCGGTGAACACATAGATGCTAGTTAACCCTTTCCCCACCATGGACGACCTGGGTCCGTCCACACTGTTTGTACCGCTCCTCACGAAGACGAGCTGGGCTCGTCCACATTGATTCGGGCTCCAATACGCTACCATGCACGAACTGGGCTAGTCCACGTGTTTCTAGTGATCTTTGCTGTGGACAGATGGCGCTTCACGGAAAACAAAAACCTGGTAAATTCCTGAATTTGGCACAAAATTGTTCCAACGCAGACAACAGGGGATTTAAAAAATGGCGGCGTCAACTTCTGGTCGCTGCGTTCGTAGTGACAATCTTGCCTCAAAACTGGGGCGAAAACGAAGATATTGTAACGTCTCTTCAAATTCAGAAGACGAGGAAATGAATCTTTCATTGAACAGCGAGAGTGATGCAGCTGAGTTATTGGATTTTAGCTCAGACGACTCCGATTTCAATGAGGACACCATGTCGGCGTATCGGCATTGGACTAGAATCAATGTAGAAAATCCTCCTCCAGTTCCTCCACGTTTTGCGTTCACTTCGCGTGCAAGGTGATGTGAACTGTCTGCAGTACTGCTACGCCCGGCCTGGACGTCCATGTGCAAGGTGACGTGAACTGTCTGCGGTAATGCAGTGAAGCCGAACTTTAATCCCTTTTTCTTTTGCAGTCTGTTCAAAGTTTTCTCATAGAATAAATATTTTGGCATTTGTTTTTGGCCTGTGTATTGCATACTAAATTTATAAGGCACATAAAGAAATTCGGTATTTTCAAATCGTTTTTCTTTTTCAAACATTTTGCGGTAGGCAAAGGGTTAAGAGTGCAGCCTGTCTTAGAATACAAGCTGGGAACACTGCCTTGCACTTTTCTGCATCGAACCTTTTCTGCACCGGTGTGGGCTGGTGCAGGTAAATCGAACGAGCCCAGCATTAATAAATAAAAAGAAAAAAAGAAAGAAAAAGCTGACGTACCGTGGAATATGCTAAGTTGGTTGCGGCGGCGGTGTCCCGTAAAGGGCCGCCCACACTAGCGAGAAAACGCGCCCGGCGTGCCGATAAATCGGTTAAGCGGGAAGATAAAGGGCGTGTCTCTGCACGCGCTCGTGGCGCTGACTGTGCTTCGGCGACATTTTGTTACTTGCCGCGATCGGCGTGCCACGCGCGTTTTCTCGCTACACTCTAAAAAAAAAGGGTATCACCATACACCCTTTTGTCCCATATAATACACCCCAAAACTTCATTTCGACGTACAGCGCCCTATAGTCGAACAGACGGCACGAAATTTTACCAGGGGCTTGATAACGGTGCGATATAACTTATTCAATTGCTAAGGTACGTATCAAAGACCAAAGAAAGAAAACACAAAGCTTTTGCAGTACGGCCAAGAAAACTCCGATAATCTTTTTTGTAGTCAATAATACGTACATCAGCTATCTTAATAAGTTGTACCACACGGCTATTAAGCCCCTCGTAAACTTTGGGGACGCCTGTTCGATTATGGGGAGCTGTACGTCGAATTGAAGTTTTGGGGTGTATTATATGGGACATGGGGTGTAATAATACACCTTTTTTTTCTGAGAGTGTAGTGTGGGCGGCCCTTTACGCAGACGCGTCGCTTCGTTCGGCGGCTGTGAGCTTCTGGCGTGACGGGGCCGCTCTCCGGACGGCCGCTGCCTTGTACTTGTAGTGAAATTCTCTTGTCAGATCGGCGATCGCCTGGAGGAGGTGTTCCTTTTCGCTATATTGCTCCTCGGTGCCTGACCTGCGACAGAGTAGCAACTGAGCTCGACCTGCTGCTCAGATCAAAGCACACACTTTAACGCCGCATTGCTTTAAATAATCTTTAGCAGTAACTGAAGCAGCACACTCACCTTCTTAAGTTGGCGCGATCCTCTGCAGCAAACTGTGCGAGCAGCTGGTCGAGGCGGTCACGTACCGCTCGCGTGCTAAAACCTTTGCCGGTGGCTGAAAGAAGGTTGCTTGCGATTTGGGCCCATCGCGATGGGTCCTCAAACGGGTTGAGGGCGTGAACTTCTTGTAACAGCGAAATGTCATCTTGCGCAGAAAAGCGCAATCGCGAGGAGGCTCCTGCCGCTGCTGCTGCCTTCTGAGCCGCCATTTGCCTATTCCCGCCGGATTAGAACACGGATCGTCTTGGCCTGTGGTCTTGGCTTTAGCCCTCTCGCAACTTATCGCGCAGCACGAGAACGACGCAAAGACCCTTTGCGTCGTCGGAAATAGCGCGCGCTATTTCCGAGAAATAGCGAGCGCTAAAATTGCGCACGCAAAGCGCAAAACCTGGTTTGCGTTCGGAGCATGCGCAGTGGCGACGACGCTATTCTTTGCGTGCGCAAAGCTTTAGCGTGCGCTATTCTAAAACTCCCTAATAAGTTTCAACACACTCCCCCCCGCAAGAAGAAGAAATAGCTGATGTGCCGTTGCATTAAAGTTGAAAGTTGGAAGAAAGATAATTCTGACCTTCTCTGGACGTCCATGCTTCCCGGAAGGTCGCGTTGGTAGCCTGGCAAATATTTTATCATTGCCGTTTAGGTCGTTCTGTGTCACGTCATGTCTGACATTTGCATAGAATCCAGGGACGATGCCTTGCTTTGTGTGAGCGAGCGATTTAGTCTTCCATCCTTCATTCCATTGAATCTGGAAGTCGATCGTGCAGCCACGTGTATTCAAACCACGGGGACGGGACAAGGCGCGAAGTGTACGATACGCTCTTTTCCTAATCTCCTTTATAGCTCTCGTTAGGCGCTGATGTATGCCGACTCTTCGTTTTGTGCTTCGTTGCTCGTATAGTCTCCCTTGTTTCTTAAATTGCTTGTTTCATTGAGGAGGTCGTTTGACATTCCTGTTCAAGAAGGTTCCATTTATTTGTTTAGTTGCTTTGGAACGGTTCCGTTTCTTCCTATCTTTTTGTGCTTTTCTGACTCTATTCTTCTTTGTTTTCAACTCGCCTTCGTTTTGAATGTGAGGACTTCTGTGAGTGCCGGCTTCATACTCTTTCTTGAAACCAGACATGACTTCTTCGCAAGTTAGCATGTAGACTATGTTCTTCGATGAAGTCGCCTGTACGGGGTTGTCGTCCAGTAGCGTATAGGTCACCTTTGTCGTTCCAGTTGATGCGCATCTGTCCTTCGTCTTCTGCTCTGATTTATGTTCTGTGACTAGACGATCGTCAGCGTAGTCTGTTGCCACACCGGTGACAGTTCCGAGTTCATAATTGTTGCTGTAAGGCTGAGTTTGTCTCACGAGATGTGGTCTGATGGAACTCATATCTGATATATTACGTTGTTTAGATAATTGTGGCTTTTCTCTCTCTACTTTTTCCAGTTCCGTCACCTGCTGATTGACTAGTTGTGCTTTAATCTTCAGCATTGATAGATGTCCTACGATGCGGACGTTTAGTTCTATGACGTGAGTGTATTCTTCAAGTTCTTCATTGGGTATGAATGGTTCGATAGCATCATCCAGGTACTTGAGTTGACATTCATAGTATGTTAGCATCTCGATGATTTCGTTAAACTGTCCGGCTGTCGTTGTTTCTGGCATTGCTTTCTCCAGAAAATCAAAGAGTGTCGTTACCTTGGTGCGTAATGCAGATCTTTGTTGCAGAAGGTGTTTGATGCCGACATCGTTGAGGGTGATATTGTCTTGGGCGTCCGTTCCATAGGGGAAAATCTTGTTCATCTTGCCGGTCGATCGTTGCTATAGGTTGGCTGTTGTGACCTTCCGTTGATGGGTCCAGTCAGGTTCTCACCGTTTTGCTAAGCCCTCTCCCGGGTTTCGGCTCCATGTTGAAAGAACAGCTGACTGGTCGTTATTAGATGAAACCAACAACAGCATTTATATACAAATGTTTACATTAAAATGTCCGGCATCGTCCGCTCATGGCCAGGCCTCGATCTATCTCGTCCATTCTATTTCTCGAGCTCCCGCTTCTTCTTCCTCTTCGTCGGGATGCCCGCTTCCGTACAATAAGTTTCAACAGCCCCTTAGGAGTAATATAATGTGTGTATAGTTTTAAATACGCCCTCTGCAATACTTACATGGGTCCTTGAAGGGAATAGATGAATAAATACCATTTTCACATTACTGCAGTTTGTTTTTTGGTGCATCACATGTTCAGGAGAGGTTAAAAAAGTGCAGCCCCATGCAACAAGTCTGCCAGTTTGGTTTGTCCCATTTATTAATATAGGGTAGGGAGGGGGGGGTCAGAGATGCGACTGTCCGCGAAAGCTCCACTGAACACAATTCTTGGTGTGTAGACTTTGAAGGCTTAAAGGCTGGAGTGTGAATATTTTACATACTTGGCTAGTATATCAACTATATTTACTTCCACTTGATTACATGATTATTGATCCTTTTCGAACGGTTCCTTAACGAGTTCTTTCTGCGACAGTCTCGTGTCAAGCGTTCAGCGGTAGTACTTGTGCTCCTTGTTGTCAGAGGACGCTCCTGGCACGTCGGTGTTCTGTTTGGTCGAGTGGCGACTTTGACTGACTAATGCCATCTTGTGATCATACATCATCTGCCGCCACCGACATCTGATGCACTGAATTTGCAGGGCCGGCTTCTAATCCACAACTTTTTCTGGCAGTTTGCTGCGTCAGTGTAGCGAGTTCGGGCATGTATTGCTTAAGTGGCTGTGCTTTTGGCTGTACCGTTGACTTGATGGCTCGCAACAATGTTTGTTTGCTATCCAAGCCACTTCACTTCTAGCCCGCAATGGCGATTTCTTCTGCATGACGCGACCACTGCAACTTGTGTAAGTCTCGTGTGGCAAAGTGAAGTCGGCTGATGCTTGGTGTTGAGTTTATGGGAGCGACCAACCATTCAATTTGTTCAATTAAGCCACTCAGCTGCATTCTTCCTCAAAGTTAGCAGTTGTGTACTTTGTGCAGCGGTCGACGCGAAGTTAACTGTCATTGCATTGCCGCTCACCTGCTTTGTCGTGCTTAGAGTAGCAACATGTGTCATGCTTACCTCCCGTCGAGGTGACAGGGATCGGGAGCTTCGGGGTAGTGTCGGCACCAGGGACAGAGGCTACCAAAAATATTCCTCAATGTCCCACGGTCTTTCCTCAATATGGGGTCATGGGTCATTCGGCACGAACTCTCGCAGGCCCATTCATTGGTACGGGCACCGTCAGTAGACATTTTGGTAGCAGAGTGATCGTCGGTCGGCCGTTCGCAACACCTCCGTCTTCCTCAATGTACTTAGTGCGGACCTACACTGGTTCTTTCCAACGTCGGGAATACTGCAGCGTTGGGGTGTCCCGTTGAATTGGCATAATAATGGGCCGCCGTTTGGGTCGTTGTGCCATTCGGGCGTAAGTCACTTTCGGTTCGTCAGATGTCGCTTCGCTCGCAGAAGTCTCCGGTTGAAATGCCTGTTGAACTTCTTCCCGAACAATCTCGGCAATCCCAATAAAAGCCTTGGGTTGCCAAAGGCATGGTAGCGCTTTTTTGGACGAGGACAAAATAAAGAAAGACAAGACAGACACGAGCGCTGACTGCAACTATTTAGTTGTCTGTCTTGTCTTTCTTTCTTTTGTCCTCGTCCAAAAAAAGCGCTACCATGCCTTTGGCAACCCAAGACCAATACCAACTAGCCCAACATACAGCTTTGACAATAAAAGCCGGGCGACTGGTGACAGGAAGTAGCTTCCTCATCTCCTCCCGGACAGCATTTCGTATGATGTCGCGAATGGCTGGGAGGCTGGCGTCGAGGTTGCAGCTGGACGACAGTAATGGCGGGACGCTGGGGAGTTGTTGATAGTGACGGGCTCAAGCGTGCAGTGCACGTTCAATGTTGGAAGCCTTGGTGATAAACCCTTCGACTGTTGTCGGAGGCTTGCGGACAAGGCTGCCGAAGATGTTGTCCCTCACATAAGGGACATGAGGATTCTTTGCTTCTTGTCTTCTGTAGCATGAGGGTCGGCGCGGGCGCTTCATCAACATCCTCCACGAAGGCGGTGATGCTCTCGTTAGGGCCGTGCCGTGGACCGGATTGGGTATTCGGTCCTCTTTTGTCGATGCTGGCTGACGAACGTGCACTTCTGCTCGATCTTGCAAACTTCTCACGACGCTGAGAAGGATTCATGGTTCTCAAACCAGTGCCTGGCCGTTTCTTCCACAAGTCTAGGTTCAGCAGGTGCTGGTCGTCTGTCCGCCCACCGTGGCGGGCGACATGGTCATATTGTTCAATCCAGTCCTGGACGTCTTCATACACTTTGCCGCGAAAGGGCGTCGGAGTGCGAGGTGCGACGGGCATGAAAACAATGGTGGGAACGGACGCGGTTTGCGGCTACGGGTTTGTCATCGTTGGCGTAGTCCACCGGTTTTTCTGGAAGGAAACCGAATTCCGGTGGTTCTTTCTGGTAGCAGCAACTGACTCGGGTTTCAAGTGTTTCGTGGTGTGTTTGCGGGGTTCGCTCTTGTGGGACTCGCTCGTCTTGCGGTTTTTCTGCCGGGCTCGAGGTTGGACTTGGCTCACGCCCCGCCGGCGATGTAAGACGCGGGACAGCCCGCCACTTTTGTCCTGTTGTCGGGCAACTTGCGGAAGAGCCGCCAGGGTGCACACAAAGTGAAGGGCTAAGGGTAAAATACCCAGCACGTCCACCAGAACGTACGATGATGGCCGAGCATGGCCTGGAACTTTCCAGAATTGTAAAGAGTGATACAAGGACTGGACCAAGTATCCGTGACACTATAACAAACTGGCAAAAGAGAGTCAATCCTGACCAGTAAAGCTGCATTGCTTTAGCGGCGTTCCCTCCAAATAAGCATCCTCCTTCGGGGTTTTGACGACTGCCGTGGACGAACATAACTGAAATGGATGTGGGACCACTTTTCTGGTAATGAGCCGCAGCAGGCTGTCGCCGCGAAGCGGCGTGAACGGATGGGCTGGGTAGGTAACACTAAAGCCCCTCGATGTGTTTGCGTTTGTCTTGCAAGTAGCGTCAAATGCGCGAGTGCACGAGGCCCATGTCTCGAGCGGCCCTTGGAAGCAAATGGCGGCGCAGCACTGAAATGAGCGGGCCTTGGAAGCTAATGGCGGCGGAGCACCCGCTCATGGCACGTGTCTCGCGCGCTTCCACAACAATGGTTGGCGGTACTTGTAAAAAACGCTTTTGTCAAGGGGCTTTAGGTAACACGCGCCCCAGTGCAACAAGTGCTATGGAATATCCATGCAGCTTGCGATTCGCGTAATGAATGTTGATGAAACATATGTGTCGACGAAACATGCGGCAGACCAGCGGATTTAATACCAACTGCAACATCTGTGCTCTGTGAAAGTGCAGGTCAACACCGGGACAATTTAGGAAGCAGCCAAGCATCACCTAGCACGGCACAAGAATGACCAGCTTGAAAACAGCTCTTCGGTGCGCCGCACACCTGCGCTCCGTGAAAGTGCACGCCTCCGCCAGAACAATTTAGTAAACAGCACAGCATCATCTATCACGGCACGGGAACTACCAGTCCTCCGGTACGCCGCACAACCAAAGTGAGCCTTCGGCCATTTGAACGAAGCGGCACCACGATTACGCACTGCCAAACACGACTCACGCAATTTTTGTAGCTAAACTGTGTATTCAAATACATTACACACGCTTTACTGCAGACTTCAAAGTTTCCGATGGTCAACGAGAGCACAAAAACCTCGCGTAAAAATATATCCTTGCGATATCCGAATCAGTCCGTGGTGCGATTGTCTCTTTCGCAGCAATATCACCAGCAAAATGCATACCGTTCCTTCGTATTTCTACGTTATACCTTCGTGAGAGACCACGTTGAACTCTGAAGTTGCTTTCGACCAGCTTCATGTGACGGCTCCCGCATCTGAAATCAACTCGCTGAGACCAACGACAACGATCAACACATCCGACAAGCTCAGGCCGATGCTCCGGCCTAGCTGGGGCCACCAACTGCCTTGGCGCTGCCATCTTTCCTGTGACGTCACGTATTTGGTTTGGTCACGTTACGAGTAGTCACTTTTGCGTACAATTGCAGAGGCCTGTAGTGGGTTAACTCATAGAG